CGATAACTCTTTGAAAGTTAGCAGAGTTAATTTCTTGATAATTTTACCGGAACGTAAATTAGGCAGGTCAATAGGTCAGGAGCTGAGGAGGCCTAATATGCATGCAAATCTCGTGCGCATCTGTCTCTGAATCTGATGCTAAGGAGGCCAAATATGCATGAAAATTTTGTGCAGCTGCCGTTGTGTTTGAAGTCTGTGGGCGAGGACTATTGAAATTGGGATGGGAATCCTCGAGTAATTTAAATCTATGTCTGCATTTTTTAAAGTCTAAATCTACAATTTTATTTTACAATGAAATGGAAATATAAGCAATCACTGTCTAGTTAGTATAGTATGCCAGGGACATCAACAATAGTGGGAATACTATACTAACTAGACAGTGATTCCTTCAATATATGTATAATGATTATATGAATTTATATCTCAAGAATTATGGATTAATTTACAAGCTTGACTGTTTAATGTAGATCAGATAAGTACATTTCATGTATATATTTAAGGCAACAATTAAGATTATTTACAATGGGAAAGCCTGGGTCATTTAAAATTCAATGGGCAGCTTTAATATTGAAAGTTCAAGGCTAATTCACAAAAATAAAAAACAAATTTACAGGACTGTGTAAACTGTGACCTGGATTCTTGAGTGGTCAACAGTGGTCTAAAGCAGCAACTCTCTCAGAGTGGGGTAATATTGTTCTACAAATTTGGCCCAATTTACTCAAATGAATTGTTATATGAGAAATGGTATCATTGCCTCACTGTGCATATGAAAGGGCATATCAATCCAATAATAAACACCTTGCTATCATTACACATAAAAAACTGTTACACGGCAGTGTTTTTCCTTTCTTTCACAGTAAAAGGTTAGAGATCAGTTGTAACAGGCTTTGAACAAAATCTCTGTGGACCTAACAACAATTAATTTTTTTTTTACTTTTTTTGTTTTGAAGCGGCATTTTTGTCAGTTGAAGTGGTCAATTTGGCCAGTAGCCGGTTCTTAGGGAAAATACTGCATGGTATCATTATTTTAGAGTAAAAGATATACATTTTGAAAAAAATTCTTATTATATTATAATCATGGAAATCAATAATTATATACACTAACAGTACTGTAATAGTTAATTTTTTTTCCTTTTCGTAAAACCTGGGCTATAATTATGCATCATATGTTCTAGCTGTTACATGCAAGCTTGGGATTCTATAGGATTGATACTTATGTAGTGAAATATTATTATATTAAGTATGAATTATGATTTCATAATTATATTTTCCTACATCAATATCAATACTATGGATTCCATAGCTTTTGATTTTATTACATGTACTATTGTACTTGTCTGATGTTTTAACCAGGGCATATAAGTGAATTGTAATCTTTCAAGTCCATTTATGGAGCAAACATTAAATTCAGCTGCAATAAACCATTCTCTTTTATACAAGCATTACCTATGTGGCAAACAATTTTGTTTTCTCGCTCATTCAAATTACCTTGCAATGTGGTTCATTAAAAAAATTAGATTTATATGTCTTTCTAAAAAGTTAAGCTTTTATCGTTTTTATGTTTTTAGTTGAAATTTGTGTTTACATTAATTAACATTTACTAGAAATAAATAGGGCAAAGTGTCACTGTATTTTGGAAAAACAATAATTATCATTGTCTATTTTGACTTTTGGTATACCTTATTTATGAGGTCATTTGTTTACCTTAACATATAAATGAATTCTAAAGTAATGTACGTGTGTTTCCCAAACATTTGAACTCAACATCAAGATATTGTAATAGCATTATATTTGCCAAAATACAATCAAAATACATGTGTATATACAAGTGCAATACATGTAGTTTTTTTTTAAAAAATATATTTTTTAAAATATATTTTCTTTATTTTTCATTAAACATGTTAACAGGTTAAAAATCATTGATTATTACCAAATTTGCACTTTGGGTAATTATCAATGATTTTTGCTTTTAGCACTTAAAAAATGCTTAGCATTTGAAAATTAAAGCACCTAAATAACCAAGACAACCATGATTACCAGCATTTCATAAATAACAAATTGACAGATGTACAAAATAGAAGCAGATGCTACTAGAATGTTGAAGGTGGGGGTGGTTATATCAAATAAAATTTTAAGAAAATTAATAATCCATAAATAAGTGTAAATTTTAAACTGTAAATTTAGTGAAAAAAGACCCCCCCCCAAAAAAAAATTAATAAATAAATGAGAGAATAAAGTAACTCCAGTTCCTTTTATGTCACATCTTCCCTAGCCAGTGGTTTCTGATATATGTTACTCTCCTTAGTAAGAGAGCAGCATATCAGAAAGTCCCTTGGCTAGCAATGATATTTATGCGAAAGAAAAAGGATGAAGACAGTTAAAGTATGTGCAGTAATATGTATATCGTTAGGCGTATAATCCCTATTAACCGCCCCTACCCCTATAAGCACCCCCCTGAGGTCTTTTTCAATTGTCAGGAAATACCTGTATGGGCCCCCTGTAAGCAACTAAAATCAACTAGAATCGTATCAAAAAATGAAGAAAGTGAAAATGAAATTTGTCTATCATCCAATTTCTCGGTGGAAAATGAACAATTTAGCATAATTTGGGTGGATTATCTTCACTTTAAGTAAAGTTAGACATTATCTTAGTTGTTTCTTGTATTTATTTTTATTTTCAAATGATTTTTTGAAGCTAAAATATGACATTAAATATCATAAAGAGAACACCAAAATATTATAGTTTGCAGCTAACTGTAAAGTTTCACATTACGTCACGATCTTACTAGTTGACAGCTGCGCTCAAGGTAAACTGTACACGCCTCCTAACTGCAAGCTATACGACTGGAACTTTCTTCTTATCCCTGATTGGTTGCTCATGCAACAGACTATTTCCGTGTCAATGTTGATGATCTGAGTTGACCAATCACGTGAATTGTTTACGCTGGATGCATCTGACGAAAAAGATTGTGACGTAACGTGAAACTTTACAGATAGCAGCAAACTATAATAACCGCCCCCTTTTTGCAATTTTCTAGACGCCCGAGGCGGTTATTAGGGATTATAAACTATTATAGGTAGGTTGGCATTCAATACCCTCTCGACCCCCCTTCCAAAAAAAGATCTAGTTATTATAAGAATCCTTTCTCATCAGGGAGGGGCACTGAAGATGAAGAACAATCAATCATTATCATGACTAAAATAAACAGGGGCAATAACTCTAAGTCAATGCATTTACAACAAACAATCCAGAGAGTTCTGAACGTCAACATGGCATGTAAATTTAAAGCGAGAAAAAATATTGAAAAAATGATTTTTTCTTTATATTAATTGAATTACTTTTTAGAATAAGAGCCCATATACAATCTCAAAAGGGATTGTATTGAATTATTTGGTACTTTTTTTTCCAGTGCAACCCCTTTTATATTCTTAAAAATCATTTTGGAGCGGATCAGCTCTGATTTGCTACACTGCAACTATATGGGAAGTATTCTAACTGTGGTGAGGGCTTGTCCGGCAACACTCTACCACTGCCTATTAAATGATGTTTGACACATGATAAAATATCACTTATATTTTTTCACTAAAAATAGTGGAAATTTCTTGTAGTTTAATTTGAGTAAATCAATTAGTACTACATGAAAAATGTACTTTTAATATGTTTAAAATGTCTAACACGTCAAAATCTTAATAGTGATATGCAATTATAGCGAGCGCAGTGAGCGTCGATCGTCACTGCGATCTCTTAAAGCAACGCCTGTGCGAAGAGAAAATCGGACTACTGCAAATTCATTCGATAGAATTTTTTGACGCAGTAATTTGGACCCACAATGCATCACTTGTTCGTCACTGCGATCTCTTAAAGCAATGCCTGTGCGAAGAGAAAATCGGACTACTGCACATTCATCCGATAGAATTTTTTGACGCAGTAATTTGGACTCACAATGCATCACTTGTTAAAGCTACGTTCTTGCGAGAATAGCAGCAAAAGTTCAACTTAAAGTAAACATGCCCTGGTTTAATGGATAAATATTGAAGGTAAATAGTAAATGAAACGTTCTTCATTTACTTTCAGCAATGTTCAGACTTCTTTTTGGAAATGTAACTTACATACAGTGTCATGTGACGTCAGAGTTTAGACACACCAAATGTCACAGGCAGTTTGACAAGCCCGATCTAAATTATAACAAAATAAATAGAGCTATCTGCGCTCGCCATAACGGTCGCATCGTCAACATATTATTGAAGACATGTTTAGTTAGACAATGAAAAGTATCATATGGGAGGTTCTGTACATCATGTACATGTAATTTACATAACTTTCACATCTTTCAGAAGGGAAGACTTTGGTTGTACACAAGTCTGAATGGTTTTGAAAAGTGTACAGATTAAATCTCATCAGTTGTTCATCTAAGAACATATTGAATGTCTAAGGCGACTGGTTATACATCTAAATCATATGTCTGACATTTGAACTTATTCATCAATTTGGGTCAAATATAGCCTAGTAGAATTTGGTCCGCATGATTTAAGATTAAAAATAAAATGTGATAATTTTTAATGTCTTGTAACAAACCTGGTTTCGTCATAACAATCAGGATGTTTATCCATTATTTTGGCATTCCAGCAATTTCACAAATAATTTTCTACATGTTAATTAATCAAAACATGTCATCAACAAGATCTAAATCAGGTTACTGGAGTAAAAGGGTCCTATCGCTGCAAATGTAAATAGTGTAATAGATACAGCGCATGCGCATTTTTTGGCATGATAGTAGATTGTACGTATAAGAATTCGATATGACGAAGGCTTATTCTATATTCTTGTAAACATTCTACATTGTCTGATTTAAAAAAAATATTCAAGAAAAGCAGTTTTTTATTAGGGAAGATAACAGAAATATTTTTCCACCATCAGTTCAAATGAGAAAGAAAACATTTAAAGGATCCAGAAAAAATCTATTTATAGCATTTGGGTTTTCCTGCTTTGGTGTGTGGAATGGAAAAGATTTTACAGCTTTAGGTTAGTTGAAAACAGTGCCATAACGGTTGTATGCATGTGTAAGTGTTAGTCAGAAATTACGGCGTATAAAGTTGAATCAGAATGGCAGTTTTGGTTTGATCAGTGCGTTAGTCGATGCTTAAATAAAATACAATTATATACATGTTTACAACATTGTTGCATATTTGTTGCAGGAGCTGAGGCAAAAGAATGAGTGGAAATATTGTATTCACAACAGCTGATTATGAAGACAGTGGTATACTTTAAATGCCTCTATTTCCTAAATTCAATACAATAATGGTTTTCTCAAATGTTTGCATGTGATGTAACTTTCAGTTTCAGCTATTATCGATAAATCAGTGTTTAAGGATTGGTTCATTGGTGTTTGAATTAAAGGCGAAAGAGAATAAGTTTTTGGATATTAAACCTAAATTCTAATGCAATTGTTTTGTAAAACACGTTTTAATTGGTTAATGCACTGATGTTCAGAAATGAAGCAGTAAAACGAACATTAACGAGAGTGAAAGCTTTTCGTTGTGACGTCATAATAGAGCGACATAAAAACGCAATGCTCTATGACGTAGTTCATATTAATCCAAGATTCCAAAAATTCAAATATTATAAGTTGAAACTTTAACCCCCGCTTTTATATTGTGACTTGTGCAGGGGAGATCTCCCCAGCACAAGTCACAATATACAAGCAGGGATTAGAGTCAGAGAAATCTCGGATTAATTTCATTTAAGGAAACTCAATAAAATTAGACGTAAACAACTAACTAAATGCATGGATTGCATTAGAATGGGAATAACTAATCTTCCAGTTTGGTATTTGCGACCGTTAATGCTGATTTAACGAATCGCAAACATACCGCGTTCGCCGGAAAAAATAAAATAAAACTGTTTGTTGCAAGTTTGCGACCGTTAAATCAGCATTAATGGTCGCAAATACCAAGTTAGAAGTTATTCCCTAAATCATGAACAAAATAACATATGAAAATGGCGTAATTAAATAGTTGTTATATACTTATAGTTTGGGCTTTGTCAAAAAATATCAGAGTAGCAGAGTTGATAGTGATGCAGCCCTTGGTGGAAACCTAAGATATGAATGCCTGTTTCGATTGCCGTTTTAAGTGTTGGTGTGCCCAGCCCTAATTTCTTTCATGTCACAGATTTGGTGCCATTGCTCACCCCTTGATTTGGAAAATGTATGTGAAGTCCTACAATTTTTGTGTGCAATCCCCTCCGATTATTCCCCGCCGTGGAACTGGTGTCTTCAAAATGCAAAGACAATTTTAAGAGCAAGGAATGTAATGGTTTTGGTTGCATGTAGGTATGAGCTATAGGTATACATGTAGCAGATCAGCAGAGTACCTGACTATAGTTATGCAAGAGTCCCGGATTAGATTTCCAGTACAATTGTACATTTCCTCAATTCCTGTTACATGTAGTCAACTTCTCATAAGGCTGGGTTCTGATAAAATTTAATATAAACAGCAAATATGTATTGTACCTTGGGCCTACAAATACGTAATTTAATATGTATAGAAGCTATAATTATATATTTTTTATATTAAATAAGACATAGACGCCTGTTATTAAATTTCTTTAATAAACTATCATAATGAATGGCACTTAATTGTACCTTTAGATGATGAGGACTTTGATGATGTGGAGGAATATGAGGACAATATGGAAACATTTTCCTCAACTCCTGCAACAACAGCAACACCAACAGGCACAGCAGCAACTCCAACAAACAGCACAGTTGTGCAACCAAATGTGGCTACCCAGTCAGCCTCTGCTTCAGGGTTTCCAGGGCAAGGACTTTTATCCCAAACTTTGCAGACATTAAGCAATGTTGTGCAACATGGTGCCCAAATGCTTCAAAGACAGCAACCACCTAATGCACAGGATGATGATGATGATGATGATGATGATGATGTCATTTTGGTAGATGAAGCAAATCCCCCCCAAACAAGACAGGGTGGGCAAGAGTTTGTTCCCCTTCATCTACCACCAGTAGAGCTTGAGAGTACCAATTATTTGAGTGAGGAACAGTTAAACTGTAAGTTTATGCCATATTAGTGTTAATTTTTTGATCATGAAATTAGTTCACACAGATTCCATCATTTAGATGTTGCTTCAGCAAGTAGTTTAGTATAAAAATTATTTTATCTTCAGTGTTACTCAAATGATCAAGACATGCTGAAGTAGTTCAAAGTGGTAAAATATTTTCATGTCACCATGTACATGGTAACTAAAGTCAAGTAGAGAAATTTTTGACTCAGTATTACTATGTATACATGTACCTATAAATATAGTTAATATAATTTTTATATGATAAATTTTCAGTATTTTAATGGTGTTATACCGGTAGAATAATGACAAAATTTTAACAATTTTAAGATAAAAGAAATTATGCATTTATGTTCAATATTTGTACTTTTTGTTTTCAGTATGGCATGATTTTTTCAATGTTACTCCAATAAACTCGGAGGAATTCTTTGTGGAGTATGGTGCATACTACTCAGCCAGAAGAACCCTATGGAATCGAGGTTGGGTCACCATCATAGGTTTCCCTGGTGATGGAAAGAAATCCCTAGCTGAGCATCTTCTCATAAAGTTTGTTAAGAAACCCGAGAAACTTGTTCCAAGACCAGAGATGAGACATAGAAATGAGTGGGAAAGAATAGCATTAGATGAAGAAGGCAGAGAACAATACACTGTTGTGATCGTCAACTCTTATGAAAAATGGCGACGCAAAGTTAATCCTAGCAAAAAACAGTGTGTGCTGATAGATAAGATATTTGGTCCTGCAACATACACTGTATCAAAGGTTGAAGAGTGGATAAACCATCTTGATGAAATTCTTGAAACTGCTGTCCAAAATAGACCAAATACTTTAGTTATCATCACATTTCAAAAGCATCAACTGGAGAAAATTCACCCAAGAGTAACACTATGTCCTTTGTTTCAAACAAAACATGTGATTGATCTATCATTAGACAAGTACAAGCCCGGGAATTATGACAGGATGAAGATTCTAGAAGGTTGCTGTGGAGGAAAGCATGGCTTATCTTACAGAGAACAGGATGAGATTGAGAAAGCTAATAACAACTCGTACGCCTACCATAGCCGACTCTACGCAGGTGTCAAAAGTTTCCATATGGAAGGACAGCAGTATTTCAAAAACCCTGAAAAATCAGTGGAAACTGTGCTTCAGAAAGTATATAGTTTTGATAAAATTATTTACTACACTCTGGCATGTGTGGGGTTGTTGGATGGAAAGATTGAACTGGATAAAGAGAGGTTTGAAGATTATACAGATTTTCAGCAAAATATTTTTAGACAACTTAGAACGGCTTTAAGTGTTCCAGATGATATGAGTTTGGAAAAGATGAGGTACGCATGTACTCTTCTTTCAGGAGTGTTTCTGGAACCAGTTAGTTGCATCATTGGAAATTCTGCCATGAAAGAATGTTCTACTTTGTGACTGATTCAGTATTTAGAAAAATTCCTCAAAAAATTCTGGAAATCTGTAGTTTAGATTTTTTGAATGAATGCATTAGAACATCTAGTTACTTCACAATTACCATGGAATCTAACCTGAGTGTTTGGAATAAAGACTATAGTTCACTGAGCCAAAGACTTGTTTTTGAAATTTTGAAAGGCAATGTCAGACTTATAGCATCACACCCAAGTCTGTGTGATGTGAGATTTGGAGAAGCTTTTGTCAAATTCATGGGGGAAATGGGAAGTCTGCAACCTGTCCTTCAGCAAAGGGGAGAATATAATCGTACCTTTTTCTTTTGGGTTTGCTACTATGGACAAGACCAAACCATCAAGCATTTAATAAAACATGATGATTTTAAAGACTTCAAACAACATGAGTGGTTCAAAGAAGAGTTGGACATCTCTCTGTTTGCAGCTTGCTATGGGAATGGCATGAATTACGGAAGACTTGTAAAAATGCTGATAGAAGAAGGAGCTTCATTGACTGCCACTGACCCATTACCAGATGAAGATTTTCTTGTTCTATATGGACAGGAAATATTTGATTTAGTTAGGAAGCTCCGAGCCCCATTGCTTCATGTTGCAGCAGTGTATGGGTCACATGATACAATGCAATCTTTGATAGAGAAAGGTGTAATTGTGAATGAGAAGACAGAAGATGGATTTACAGTTTATCACAGAGCCGCCAGAAATCCAGATGATGGAGCACTTAGAGCACTTTTGAAGTCTAAACCAGACATCAATTCTATTAAGAGTGCAACTGGAAGCTTGCCAATTCACGAAGCCATACGATGTGGGGGAGAAAGTGCAACACGTCAGCTCCACTGGAGCGGAAGTGACATCAAAGACAATTACAAAATGGACGATGGTAGATCAATGCTAGCTGCAGCAACTGGTGTTGGGGTAGAAGGAATTGTCAGGACTATTACGAATGCAATGACAAAGCCAAAGCCGGAAGGATGCCAAGATAACTGGCCAGCTTTACATACTGCTTGTGCCTTTGGAAATATTGAACTAGTGAAGACTTTGCTTGAAAGAGATATACCTGTTAATGCAAAAGGCCTTGGTGGATGGACTGCACTTCATTTTGCAGTACTTTTCAATCAACCGAGAATAATAAGCATGTTACTAGACAAAAATGCAGATGTGAATTGCCAAGCAGAAGACAAGAAAACCCCTCTGCACATCGCAGCAGAAAATGGTTATTGGCATCTGGTCGATGTTCTGTTGGATAAAAAGGCCACTCCAGAAAGTACCACAAAAGAAGGCGACTTTGCAATAACATCGGCAGCTCTGAACGGTCACATAGAAATAGTGAAAACGTTGATCGAAGAAGGGATAGAACTTGAGTTTCCAAAGGAAAGGGAGGAAGATCCACATGAAAGAGAGCGTATGATGCGAATGATGATGATGCATGCACGAGAGCGCGAGAGAGAGCGGGACAGGATGAAAATGCGAAACATGAAAGATTTCAAGGATATGAAAAAATAGTGATGTCCCTAAAGAAATCTTGGTTTCTTCTTAATGAAAATTTAATTTTTGAAGACCAGTGCTGCAGAGTTGTTATGATGAGAGAGCAATGACGCAAGGCGGGAATCTATTATCAGGGGAAAAGAACAAGGGACGATAACATCGTTTGCATGGACGTTTAGACTTTGATTTGTCGGTTACATGTACGTGTCGACTGACTTGGCTTGGACTTCCGTGAAGCAGTCTCCTCATGTATTCCTAATGCCATTAATATGGACCTGATTCTTGTAAACAGGCAGCAGTATTTTACCGATCATCGTTAAAGCTTATAAATATTCTTAATATTCAAGGACGCTGAATTAATTTTAGTTTCATTGTATAATTTAAAAAAATTTCATTCGTTGTTATAATTTTTTAAAATTTAAATTGTTTTACACGTAGAACTGAAAATGAACTTTTAAAAAAACTCCGAAAATCCGCATTCCAAACAATTTCTCTGCACATTTCTTCAAAAAAAAATAAATTCTCCAAAAGACAAAGGAATTTTCTTAACTATTTTTGAGTATGGAATGTCTTTCCCAGAGATGTTTATTTATTTCACTATGACCTTAAGACATTTTCGTATAATACATACATTTTTTTTGGCAAGCTTATTAGAAAGAAAACAAACCAAACAACAATAAATTTAGAAAACACCTAAATTTTTTCAAAAAAAAGAAGAATTTTGCAGTATGGTATTGTTAACTTTTTTAAAAAACATTACTTTAGTGCATTAAAGATAGATTTCATCTCGAAGTTTCATTCTGATAGCACTTTCTGATAGTCCTAATTAAACGTAAAAATTACTACAGGATTTTTGATTGTTTTCTGTTTGATAGTGTTAACCTTATCCAAGCTAATCCACTTATTAGACAAGTACTTTACCAAAAAAGTTTTTTTTAAAAATCATTACATGTAATTGTATTTCAACTCGCTTCGTTGTACATAACATTCCATGGAAAATTTGAGTATGAGGGTTGGCGGCCATTTCTAAATAAACAGGTATATCTGTTGATAAAAACAAAAGTAAAGGACATAAATTCATGTACAGTCACGTCTGCTGAGATTATTTCAGATAATCACATAAAATAAAATTCTTTATTCCCAAACAAAAACCCGAAGGAAACTTAAAAATAGCGAATAAAAGAAAATCTTTAAAATAATCTTTACGTTGAAAGAGGCAGCAGCATACATCTCAGGTGATATTTTATCAATAATGAAATTAATGTTGTCCTTGAACATTAAAAGTAAAAGATATACACCAGGCTATCATTAATTAGAAAATCTGGTGGTTTTGATTATTATGTAGGAAGAGGGCGAATAAGTTTTTTCGGTCACTTTATGTACAAGTCCGATCCTATCAGGACCAGATGTGCAGGAATCTTTGACGTCTTTTTCTGTCAAGTCGAGTTTTTTTTCTGCTGACTTGTAGTGATGTGATGATGGTTTTCATCTCGAGAAGCTTACTTGGTTTTCATATTGCTGTTTTCCACATCCTTTGCTGATCAGCATTTTCTATTCCAGTGAGATGGTTTTGTAATGCTACATGTTTTAAGGCTTTCGATGTTGTGTAGATCTTGTTCAAGATTTAAAGAAACAAGTTGATTCCCAAGAATAAGCCCTGTTGTTTTAGTGACCAAACTGCATAAAATAACTCATATATTTACGAACAATGAAGGCCTGTTGGTATTGCCTCTGACTGTTTTTCTCCGTTAGGGTAACATGTAATGCATGGATGCTGAATCTACCTACATTTAACTCCTGCTTCTATCAAGATGAGCTTCAGATTGTTCAAGTTTTTAGGCATGCAAGTCACTTCCCAAGTAAGTGTTTAGTTCATTTTGGAGGAATCTTGTATTTTGATCTTGCAACTAGGAATTACGCCACATTACGAGACTTGCTTTAGGTAGATCTGGCCTATTTTAATGCAGTTGTATTAATGACAAAATTTCCAGTTGAGTTACTTGCATGCAGGTTCTATATAGATTAAAAGTGCCTTCCTATAGGTACAATTTTATAACTTTTAAGCCTTCTGATGACTAAGCATGCATGCATGGAATGATGAATCTAGGGATGCACACCTCTGGATTTGCTTTAAATGCTGGATTTGACTATATACAATCAGGCGTGTATGGATATACCTTTTAGCAGGTAAATTCCGATGGATTTTTGGCCATACCTTGGATTCTAAACAGTTTGTCAGCGCCTCCTCTTAAACCACAGAATTTTGTCAAACTTTGGTAGGAAAAAGATAGACATAAATAAAGGCATTGAGCACTGGGGCGTAGGTTTACCCCCTCCTGTCCCCCCCCAATTGTACTTTAAAAATGAAATAAGTCTGATATCTCGCGTTTGTACGTTTGGACAATTTACTAAATTTTTTTTATTAATTTAAAATTAATAAAAATTAATAAAAACTGGAATAAGCTTTCCACAAAAAACCCTAACAAGACAAAATGTTGGATTCAGGTAAAATTGTTAAGCTTTCCCAACATCATTTCAAAAAAAGTGACATCCTAGTTTTTATAGATCTCTCTGAAGCCATTCAAGTTTTTGATTGTAAAATAGCAGTTATTATCAAGGTGAAAAAAAAACATCATAAGGTACAAATCTCGTCTAATGGAATTTTAAGGTAAGTCACTCGTCAGTTTTTTAGAAAAGTTCACGCAGAAGCTTTTACTTCAAAACTACTTATTAAAATTCAATTTTTAAAACATATTTAAATTCAACAATGTAAATTTTTTAACATTCAATGAAAAAACTGCTCAAAAATCTCAAAGAAAAATTTACAACTATTGAGATTTAATGAAGTAGAAGCAAGATATTAATTAGAAATATTGATTTTCTTTTGGTGGAAGGAAAAATATTTAGCTTTAGAAAATTCTGCAAATGTGCACATTTATAAAATTTAATGTAATGGAAATTTAGCCTCACATACTTTTACTCGGAGAATATTTTCCATTTTGATATTGCTAAAAATATTTAATATAGATCTTAATTTATACTTTTTAGCACCTCTGTTTTACACATAGTTCCCTCAACAAATAAAAATTTCTAAAAAATGAAAATATATAAAATAGGAAAAAATAACATACCTATTCCAGTGTGTTTGTGTCTGTGCTGGAAGGACACCAAAATTTACACCATTTTTTGCCTTTGTTTTAAAATCACAGGTAGTTTTGACAAATATTTCAAAATTAACATCACTGACCCCAGTCATTTGATATATTCAATTCACATTTTAAACTACTCGATACTTGTGACTGATCAGCACTCAATTCGTAAAAAGTTTGATATAAGAAAAAAATTTGATTATTGCAGCATAGACATAAGGATTCTTTCTAGTTTCTGATAGATGAAATATTCAAAGTTATTTTTTATGCTTATATATTTAAAGAGATTTAAAAGACATATTTTTCTTTCCTCGTCACAATTGTACAACTTAAATAGAAATGGTAAACTTTGTTTGAAAATAGTAACATAAATGCCTATGAAACTATCTTTTTTCTGCCTCTCAAAATTATTATAGAACATTGAATTTAGTTATAATTTTTGCAATCAAAAACTACACGAAATTTTCAAATGTAAGTCAAATTATAATAAGAGACTAAAGTTTCAAAATATATCAAATAAATAAGATTTTTCACACATACTAGAATTATGTCAACTTTTAAATGCTTCAAATCTAAGTACAGATTTGCAGCCAAATATCGGTAAAAAGTGTTATTTCTCTCTTAGTAAACGATCAAAACTTTTAGTTTTTGTATCATTTTGTACCTTTATGTGACTACTTTACTATATGTGAAAATGAGAAAAAGTTAAAAATAGGAAGCATATAAAGATAACTAATAAATCCTAAAAATTTAAGAAAAGTACAGGAAATTCGGATTAGCAAATATCCAATGCATTTTATTTGAATTTTTATGTCAATTTGGTTATATCATCTTATATGCCCTTTATGGTTGTATCTTTTTGTGCAAAAAGAAAAACATTCAATCTTTTGAATTACAAGTAGGGATCGCATGATTGGAAACAGTAATTCTTTATTCTTAATATCCAGGAAAAGGATAATGACCTTGACCTGACCTTGCCTCTAATATTAAACGGTCAAATTTAATGTCACTGATACCATCACTTAGTGATATTGTCCTCTTGATTCTGTGAAAATTTCATTAATTTTTGAATACAAAAAATTTGAGAAGAATCCTACCATAAACACACGGGAGAAGGTATGTTATTTTTTTCTCCCATACATGAGTTGTCATTCTTTATTTATCTTTGTCATAGGTGCAAGTTTTAGTAAATTTCTATTTCCAGAAGAATATTTATTAATATACATACAAAAACTGAGTTTTTGATTGCTGATGTACTCAGTATTCAAGTCACATTCTGAATGAGTAGTGTAAGTGGTACCAATTGCTCATTTTCCTGGTTTCGTCTATACTTAACTTTAGACAAACCCAGTGGATTTTAACAGTGATTTGAGTCATTCACTGATAAAAGTTCAGAATGTAACTTGTACATAGACTTGGATGTGATAGAATCAAGAAACAACAGTGCTTGATGTCCACTTCCAGCACAGACACAAACACATGTACACTGGAGGAAGTAAGTTTTTTTTCTCCCATACATGTGTGATCATTCTTTATTTTATCTATGTCATAGGTGCAAGTTTTGGTAAATTTCTTTTTTTCAGAAGAATATAACGAGCATGAGTATGGAGACAAAAACTGAGGTGTTGATTGCTAATGTATTCAAGTCACATTCTGAACGAGTGGTAAGTGCAAGTGGTACTAGTTGCTAATGTCCCTGGTTTTGTGTATGCTTTACACAGACCCAGTGGAATAAAAACTGATTTGAGCCACTCAAAGACAAAAGTTCAGAATGTGACTTGCACATACTCTCGGATGTGATAGAAGCAAGGAACAACAGTGCTTGATGTCCACTTGCAACATAAGCAATAACACACTGGAGAAGGTATGTTTTTTTTCTCCCATACATGTGTGGTCATTCTTTATTTTATCTATGTCATACACTGTAGCTGCAAGTTTTAGTAAATTTTTATTTCCAGAAGAATTGAGGAGCATTAGTATGGGGACAAAAACTGAGGTGCTCATTGCTGATGTATCGAAGTCACATTCTTAATGAGCAGTGCAAGTGGTACTAGTTGCTAATGTCCCTGGTTTCGTCTATGCACAAATCCAGTAGATTGAAAAAACTGATTTGAGCCAATCACTAAGAAAATCAAATGTGACTTGTTTTAGTCGTCGATGCGATAGAAGCAACCTAAAAAAAAAAACAGACAGTGCTTGATGTCCATAGGCAAAACACACTGGAGAAGATATGCTTTTTTTTTACTATAATGTATGTGTTGTCATTCTTTATTTTATCTAAGTCGTATGCAAGTTATGGTAAATTTCTTTTTTCAGAAGAATATAAAAAGCATTAGTATGGAGACAAAAACTGAGGTGCTAATTACTGATGTATTCAAGTCACATTCTGAATGAGTAGTAAGTGCAAATGGTACCAGTTGGTAATGTCCCTTGTTTTGTCTATCTTTAAGACAAACCCAGTAGGTTAAAAAACTGATTT